TGAAAGTGTTGTCGATAAGGTGGCGTGGGTATGAATAAAGTGTTAGTGCTATTGTTGCTTTTTTAATGGCCTGAGGTCTATTGATAGGATCGGATAATCTAATAGCTCTATCAGCGAGTCCGATAACTACTGATTTCTTTTGAGACAGGGGATGATGAGAGTTGAAATTTAGATATCTCGACGACCAGGTTTTTTTGGTGTACCATGAAGTAGTTATAGTACTGTTTTCTCTATGCAAGGTCAGGTCCAAAAAATTAATTTGATAATTTTTTTTTTAATTTCTAATGTGAATTTTAGTTTTTGGTAAAAGTTATTGAATTAATTTAGTAAATTATCCATTTTTATCCTCTGGTGCTGCACTCAAGCAGTCATCTATATAGCGATAGAAAAAAGATATATCAAAATCTATTTTATTTAAAACAATTTCCTCTAGATGCTCTAAAACTAATTGAGCGATTTCACTGGATATGCTAGCATCCACAGCACATCCACCTGTTTGTTGGAAGATTTTGTTTTTATATTTAAAATAGGTTGACTTTAATATTTATTATTAATTAATATCGGTTGACGATAGAATATTAAAAAAATTAATATGCTATCGTCAGAATCAGATAATAAAAATCACAATAATAAATTGCAGGATACTTGGTTAGAAAATTTAACAAATGTAGAGATTCCCAGTGACGTACAAGATGTTTTAAGTTTAGGAGATAATTTTGCAGTTCCCATCCGTAATAAAAATGCTATTCCAACATTAGAAATTATTTGTTCAATTGAGAGTTCAAGTCTTAAGTACTTAAGTACCAATGTACAGGATGATATCAGAACTAAATGTTGCAACATTTTGACAAACTTTAAAAACAAAAACAAATATCCTTTTGAAAACAAAACAATACAAAAAAAAATAAAAAAGACAAAAGCTTTTTTAAACGAGAACCCCAATTTAGTTGTTCTGAAACCTGACAGAACTAACACGACTGTTATTATGGAGTCCGAAGACTATGACAGTAAAATGGATTCTCTATTAAATGACAATACAACATACCGTAAATGAAAAATGACCCTACGAATGTTTTCCAAAAAAGAAATAACGAATTAGTCGACAGATGGGAAAAACTGTGCTACATCTCACCAAACACTGCTAATTCCCTCAAGATACATAATGCTGTAATTCCAAAAATATACGGTCTACCCAAAACACATAAAGAGGGTGTGCCGCTGCGACCTATTGTTTCATGCATTCAGTCTCCTTTTGAAAACCTTTCAAAATATTTGAAGAATATTATTTCCAACGTAATAAATAAAAATCCACACTATTTAAAAGACGCTGACCACCTGAAATTAAAACTCAAAAATATACATTTACCTCCAAACTATAAATTAGTTTCTTTCGATGTAGTATATTTATACACCAATATTCCAATAGCTTTAGCGAAAGACATAATTAAAAAAAAGTGGAACGAAATCAAAGCGTTCACAGACATCCCTCTAGAAGAATTTCTGCTAGCAGTCGAAACAACATTAAAGTCAACCTATTTCCAATATAAAAACAAAATCTTCCAACAAACAGATGAATGTGCTATGGGTGCTAGCATATTTAGTGCCATCGCTTAATTAGTTTTAGAGCATCTAGAGGAAATTGTGTTAAATAAAATAGATTTTGATATACCTTTTTACTATCGCTATATAGATGACTGCTTGAGTGCAGCACCAGAGGATAAAATGGATAATTTACTAAATGAATTCAATAACTTTCACCAAAAACTAAAATTCACATTAGAAATTGAAAAAAATTATCAAATTAATTTTCTGGACCTGACCTTGCATAGAGAAAACAGCACTATAACTACTTCATGGTACACCAAAAAAACCTGGTCGTCGAGATATCTGAATTTCAACTCTCATCATCCCATGTCTCAAAAGAAATCAGTAGTTATTGGACTCGCTGATAGAGCTATTAGATTATCCGATCCTATCAATAGACCTCAGGCCATTAAAAAGCAAAAACAGCAATAACACTTAATTCATACCCACACCACCTTATCGACAACACTTTCAAATCGCGACTGCATAAATTTTACAATAACAATAATAACAATGAAACCAACACGGTAAAGAAAAACTATATGTCTCTCCCCTATATAAAAGGATTATCAGAACAAATTGCAAATCTTCTGTGAAAACATAATATTACGGTTGCTCATAAAGGTCACAATCTTTTGAAAAGGAATTTTACAAGATTGAAAACAAAAACCCCTCTATTAAAAAGATCGCATGTTGTATATGAAATTCCCTGCTCGAATTGTGATGGAGTTTATATTGGACAAACCAGTCAGCTACTTAATTCAAGAATACGTTCCCACAAATATGACAAAAAAACTCAACCGCCCTCACAAAACATGAAAACGAAAAAAAAACAAAAATTTGATTTTGAGAAAACCAAGATCCTAAAAAGTGAACCCAACAGGAAAAAGAGAGAACTTCTAGAGTCTATACAAATAAAAAAAAATAATAACGCAATAAATGATGAAAAAGATGTCAAAAATTTGAACAAAATATATTTTAACTTAATTTAAAAACACATAAAAAGTCAATCTCAGAACGCCTATGATGTTAAAATAACTGATTGTTTAAACGATAAACTAACATCAATAAATAACACATTAGATTTAAAATACATTTTACTTGTAGTGACTTACTGGGTATGTCCTATGTTTTAATATTATTTTAATTGTGACGTCATATTGTTAATACCGAATCTTTACATGCTTGGTAAGTCAAAAGTTTATTTTTTAAACCGTATTATGTCTGTCATAAAATTTGTTTTTTTAGTAAATATATATTATTGAAAAAGGCATGGATTTCCTGCCGAAACGTCGGAAAAAAATATATAAAAATATCTTAGTATCAAACTAAAAAAAAATTTTTTTTTATGAACCTAAGCCCAAGAGAATCTACTAATATATATATATATATATATATATATATATATATATATATATATATATATATTATATATATATATATATATATATAAGAAAAAAGAAGTACTTGTGACTCATTTGGAAAAAATATAACACTGTTTTTGATGGGTTGGAGTCAATAAAAGGGGCTATTTGTTGACTATTTTTTACTCGAGCTTTCAATTGTGATTACAATTTTAATCAAGAGCTTCTAAAAAATTCAAAATGTCTTACAAAGTTGAGCTAGAAATAAAAAATTTTTTGTTAACTCACCAAATAAAATTAGTTTTTTATATAAAACTACTGCTTACATAATAAATACAAAAAATATTAATAAAAAAATGTCTTATTCTAATAAATGGTTCTCTGAAAAATTTAGATGAAGTTTCTTAAGAAAAAAAATTGAATTTATAAACAAAAATAGAATAGCTACAACCAGCCTAAATGTCATAAATACTAACTTAGAAAGTTAGTTAGAAAAAAGCATCCTATGTAGCATATCATATTTTTCTAATTTATTAAATATAAATAACTTAACACCATTTTTTGCTAAATCTCAAAACACTGTATCCAACAATCAAAACATATATTATCATTCACTACCTTTTATACCATCATTAACTCCTAAATTAATACAAACATTAAAGGTTATTGACAATATAAAAATAGCAACAAAGAACATCAAAACTATTTCATCTTTATATTCCAAAACTAAATATCCTATAGACAAATTAGATCAAACAAATGTAGTATACAGCATTGTTTGTACTCAGTGTGAAGCTGAGTATATTGGTGAGACTGGAAGAAATCTCTCAAATCGCATTACTTCTCACAAGAGTGATTGTAGAATTAAGAAACCATCTTGTGCTTTGGCAGAGCATGTAATAGACAAAGACCATATTATGGATTTTGATAATATTAAAATTTTATGTAATGAAAGTAATAAATTTAAAAGAACTTTTTTGGAAATGGTTTGTATTAGCAAAAGTGATAATAATTTAAACAAAAGGTCAGAAATTCAAAATTTAAGCAAAATTTATAATTATATAATTTCTATTTAATTTATGCAGTCAGTAAAATATCACATTTTGAATTTTCCATGTATTTGTTACATTTTTTCGGGCATCTATCAATGGTGAATAAATCTTCTTCTTTTTTGTTACTAAACAAAGAAGAATTTTTTAAACAAAATTTTATTTTTGATAATATGTCAAAAATAAAAATTTTTAAGTTAGTATTTATGACATTTAGGCTGGTTGTAGCTATTCTATTTTTGTTTATAAATTCAATTTTTTTTCTTAAGAAACTTCATCTAAATTTTTCAGAGAAACATTTATTAGAATAAGACATTTTTTTATTAATATTTTTTGTATTTATTATGTAAGCAGTAGTTTTTATATAAAAAACTATATATATATATATATATATATATATATATATATATATATATATACATATTACAGGATCCAACTGTAAATATAATACATTTTCCTCCCGGTACAAGGCATGCTCCTCCTCCAAACCTCTCGATTCCATCGCCCTTCTAATTCCTTTATTCGAATCAAAATCAGAATCTTAGAAAAGCCAGTAAATAAGTCAGTTTAAATTTCCTTCCGATCGGAATTAAGGAATAAGCTGTATCCGAGCCATGAACCCTTATCTTTTACCCTACTGAGTATCCATTGGGTATTAGTGATTAAAATGTACGAGAAGTTCGTAAATAAGTCAATTTAAAAAAAGTTACTAGAGACTTATTTTATGAGGATAGTAGGACTTTGTGTACTGCCTATACATCGGCTATTGGTTATTAGAATATAAGAAAAACCAGTACTAATTTAATTTAAGGTTTCCATCTTAATTAATTTTAAATAAAAATTGTTAATTAGTAATATCCAGATCATATTACAATTCAAACAACTAATTTTAACGGGATTTTACAAACAAGAGAAAACATTCAAAAATACATCTTTTTATCTTTCTTATCTTCTTTAAAATAGAAGACACAAAATTTGTTTTTTCTTCGCTATTTTGACTTACCCAAGTCATTTCCTCTAGTCCTCGGAAGAAATTTTGGAGATCTTTGTTGACGCTGCTGTAAATTATATCCATCCTCTTGTATGTTTTTATCTACCCAAGGCCAAGGGCAATCTAGTCTGGTACCTGTTTGTGGATTAATTTCCTGCAAAAAGTTAGGCATTAAAAAATAACTTCTTTTGGTTTATCATAAATTATTTTCAAATGGTTAATTATTTTTAAAGCACAATGAACAAAAGCTTAGATACTCAACAAAATAAAGTAAAGGAAAATGATATTTCCTTTCATTAATATGAAAATCTCACTTTTTTTAATGAATGATTAATTGTGCGTTGAGTAGTCTATCGTCTATATCAATTATTATTTATTAATTATTAAAAATAATATTATTTATTAATAATTACATCTATGTCTGTTCTTCTGGGGTGATAGCCCTAGCTATACTGAATGCAATATTAGCAAAAATATTTTCGAAAATATAGTCATTCAAAGCACCCCTGTCATAAAGAATATCACCAAAAAATACCAAATATTTTTTTAAGAAAAGTATTTTTAAGAATATAATAAATTTAAAATTATAGTTTTTAATAATACGAAGATCTCGAAAATACCCAAATTGATTTTAGAAATGCTATGAGAATTAGAGAGGCACTTTTTGCGCTAAATATCTTATTACAAACATGTAATTTATAATTTTTAATATTACAACATGTAAAACCAATGCGGATGCTAAAAATATAGAAATAGATGCCAAAGATATTTCTGTCATTAAAAATCTGCACTGGAGTCAAATTGCTATCGTAAAAATTGGTTACAACTGCACCTACATAAAAGTCCATACACCTAGAAGTCAAATAAGGTTGCATTTCGTCTCCAACATTGTTCAATGCTTACTCGGACCAGTTATTTAAAAAAAACACTTGAGAGACAGCCACATGTAATGAAAAATTAACGCGGAACTTCTTCTTCTTAACATGCCATACACCAAAGTGCGTAGGCGACTATCTCATTACTAGAATTCTGTTCTTGGCGGCGTGACACAGCTCACCTGTATTGTGTATTCCTGTCCATTCTTTAATATTCCTTAACCAGGATAGTTGTTTGCGGCCGGCTCCTCTCCTACCTTCGATCTTCCCTTGTAGGATTAACTGTGGTATTTCATATTTTGCTCCTCTCAATATGTGCCCAAGGTAACCAATCTTGCGTTTTTTAATTAATTCAAAGAGTTCTCTTTCCACGCCGGCTCTATTAAGGACGTCATCGTTTCGAACTCTATCCACCCAAGGTATGCGCATCATTCTTCTCAATGACCACATTTCAAATGCTTCAAGTTTGTTGATAGATGTTTTTTTTCAAAGTCCACGTTTCCATACCATAAAGCAAGATGGACCATATGTAGCACTTGACCATTCTGTAGCGTATTTCGAAGTTTAGGTGTTGATTAGTGAACGCGGAACTACTTAATTTAATTATGTATGCTAACGATACAGTAATTTTGTAGTTATTACCAACTTAACCCCAATTTGCACCCCTACTCAAGTTGTTCATTTTATTAAAGAGAAGCTGCGTATCAAGATACTGGTACAGCGAGTGTTTCCTTATTCAAAATAGTTATAAAATCTAAAACCTCTATTGACCTATTATTTAATAAGGAATTTTTTCCATCTGGTGTAAACATCAAATGGTGTATAGAATCTTTATATTCCGATCCAACGCCTTCATCTGAGTCAAATATGAGTCCGAAGACCATCAGAAACTCCTTAGCTTGGAAAATCCAATTACCATTTTAAGCAACAATAAAACTGAAGTGGAAAACACAAAAACAGTCATAGACAAGCGGGCCATCGAAACTTGGAAATCTAAGAATGCTTTCCATTCTCATATTAATTTCATTAAGAAGGGGACTTTGGAACAATCGATAAATCTGGCTCCTTTGACACCACCAAGAGTTACATTAATCAATAACTCGAACAGTCGATATCTTCTAGCAAGATTAAGGGAACCGGATATCCTGAAAGCCATTAAGCTACATCTTGCTTTTCTACAAGACCAACCTGCTTCAGTATGTTACGAAGGATTCACTAACACAATCGTTAAACTCTTTTTCTCTTTCGAAGGATTCCCACTAAGACTGAAGATCTACGAAAAATCATTCTAGAATTTAACGATGCCTATGGAATTGGTCAAACTGAGGTGGACCTGATCTAGCTGCTTTTAGGTCCTTTCTGACTTCGGAAAAATTATTTACCCGCAAAAATCAAGGAAAAGTCACCGAAACTACTATTATGCTGTCTCTCCAAAACGAAATTTTTAAATAATACGACGTGTTCCGTGGGACTAGAAACCTGAAGATTATTTTAGATGACAACTTTGGAATGGTACTGATTATTATTCGTTCTATAAGATATAAAACAGATGAGTTATTGTTGTTTCTAGAAAAATTACGATTTCCCTCGTTAGGTGCAGTTTCCCAGCACTGGCTTGAAGTCAACAAGTCTTTTTTTGTAGAAAAATGTACCACAATTGCTAGGTATGATCGCTCAAGTTCAGCTCATGGTGACACCCCAATCCTTTTTACAAACAATAAATGAAGCTTTTTTTGAGTTTTCATTGTTTTATAACAAGAATATTAATTTATACATTATTTGCATTTATAGATCACTTGATTCTTCAACGGAACTATTTTTTCAGAACTTGCTAAATTTGTTAGACGACCTGGGAAGGAATAAAAGGAAAACTATTAAAGACTTTAAGACGATGACTAAAAATGAAAACGTATAGAAAATGGATAAAGTAGGAACCGGAATCCCAATCTGACGCCTGAGCAAAAGGATACGAGAAGAAGAAGAAGAAGAAGAAGAATTTCCACCAAGGAAATCGTTTTCAAAATACAATTTTTTCAGTAGGTGCCATTTCTCTGTACAAAATATTTAATGTCCTAAAATGTTAAGTAACGATGGACTCATACCGGTTTTTTAACACTTTCACTACTTGTCAAATATTCTATATGTTTTCACACAAACTGAGGTAGATTTTGTATCTTTTCTTTACAAACTGTGCGTACCATAAGTGATACACAATAAGTTTTTACTTACAACTGTATGTTAATATATGGACTATGAACATGCAATGATTCTCTCTGGTGTGTACGACATATGAACACAGTTACATGAAGTTTAAATGCTTATATCTTCTTATGGTGCCTATCCATTACGGATGTTGGACACTAACATGGCTATTCTGACTTTGTTGACTGCTGCCCTGAAAAGTCCGACAGTGGTTAAGTTAAACCATTTTCGAAGGCTATGCAGCCAGGTTCAGCTTTCGTCAACATGAAAAAATCTCAAACAAAACAGCCACGACATAACATTGGAAATAAAAGTTCGTTTTTTTCCGTTCTTTTATATGGCGTGGAGTCATGGACCTTAACTGAAGCATCATTGAAGAGACTCGAAGCATTTGAGATGTGGTGCTATAGACGCATGTTGAGGATTTCTTGGATAGACAGAATTACCAACGAAGAAGTACTACATAGAATGGGTAAAGAGCATCTTCTTCTTATGGTGCCTATCCGTTACGGATGTTGGACACTAACATGGCTATTCTGACTTTGTTGATTGCTGCCCTGAAAAGTCCGGTAGTGGTTAAGTTAAACCATTTTCGCAGGTTATGCAGCCAGGATATTCTTCTCCGTCCTGGACCTCTTTTCCCATGTAATTTACCGTGAAGTATGGTCCGAAGTAGGTCATATCGTTGTTCATTGTGCATTATATGGCCCAGGTATTCTAGTTTGCGACGTTTATGGTTAAGACTAGTTCGCGCTCCAAACGCTTATATAGGTCGGTTTAATTTGTGGTTAAATTTTGGCGGAACAGTTGAGGACTTCAACCTTCACCAATCGATGAGTTTTTCGCTCCTCTCATGAGAATGTTCGTCTGTCGGTTTTATCTACTGGATACTATTTATTGAATAGAGTGTACTTGTGTTTGATAAGCATACAGTAAAACAATGATGACGCCTGAAGAACTTGAAGACATTAGTGAAAATTTGAGTGATGTTGAGTATGAATTTACTTAAGATGGTGATTGTAATGGACCCAAATTTTGATATAACATCTGATAGTAAACAATAGTGAGATTTTGCTGTATCAATTATTAGGAGACTGTCATTTTGATACTTCGAATTAAGGTTTGGACACTCATACATCATTCTAATATGAATTTAACTCTGACATTATATGACTTCAACATGACTTCAACCTTCACCGATGGATGAATTTTCGCTCCTCTCATGAGAATGTTCGTCTGTCGATTTTATCTACTGGATACTATTTATTGAATAGAGTGTACTTGTGTTTGATAAGCATACAGTTAAAAAATGATGACGCCTGATGAACTTGAAGACATTAGTGAAAATATGAGTGATGTTGAGTATGAATTTACTTAAGATGGTGATTGTAATGGACTCAACTTTTGATATAACATCTGATAGTAAGCAATAGTACGATTTTACTGTATCAATTATTAGGGCACTGCCATTTTGATACTTCGAATTAAGGTTTTTATACTAATACATCACTCTAATATGAATTTAACCCTGACATTATATCTTCACACGTTGTATCTATATTCAGCTTCAAAAAATATAAGAATATGTGCTTTTTTGACGATTACCACTGTAATATTTTTATATCCAATTGTCTGTTTCAGACTCTTTGTTTAGTTTTTAATAAATCAATATTTTCATGGATCATTTTTATTACTACTGCCGTCAATAATTTTTTGTCCAAATAAACATGGAACATTTATGTACCCTTCTATAACAATATTAGCGACTATCTTTTTTATTATGTAGGAAATTTGTTCTTGTAGATGTTTTGTTCCTTATTTTAAGAGTAGCTAATTTTGCAGGATTTTCGTATGCTTTAGAATAGTGTTGCCCAAATGCAAGAACAAGACGAGACTTGGACAGTCTTGGTCTTGGTCTTGCACTAATACACCTGGTCTTGGTCTTGGTATTGCACTCCCAGTCTCCCTAGGGTCTTAAAAAATATACTGGATCTACTATACTCGCTAAAACGACACTCAGTCCTAACTGCAAGACGCAAGAGTCTCGAAGGCTTAGTCTTGTTCTTGCTTAAATCTT